ACCCATACACTTTATTTCGAAATAACAGGACCTTTACTGATGTATTGTACAGAATAATTGACAATCATAAGGGATGGTGTTCGAGTTTGGGCCGATGCAGGTTTGGACTCAAACTATGGCTGTTTGCCATTTGGCAAACAGGTGACCTAATTAAGCCATTCACCTTTCCACCAAAGCAAATATAATCGAAATCCTACACTTAGTAGTGGTAATACTACTGCTACTAAATGTGGCATCCTAGCAACCAGTGATGCATCCCTGCCCCATTCACCTTCCAGCTGGGGGATTTTCCAGCTAGTAGGGTGAATGTAAACAAGGGGCCGGGTATGCTGACGTCTATGACCAAATATGGCCATGGCCAGTGATATCAGCCAGCATTAACACCCCATTCAGCTGCTGGCCAGGGAGCTGTCATTCACAATTTTCACAAGTTTCATTGGGAGCAGATCGTATCAGCAGGTTGCGTTTTAGGAAAGATGGTGTCTGCATATTGGGTCTTTTTTTGCTTACCTACCTGTTGTGGCTAAAATGCCCAGGTGTTCTAATATGAAGATACTTACTGGGCTGAGTATTTGATCCTGCCACTTGACTTTCCTGGCCAAAAGGTTTTCTATTGGCCCATTACTGTGAAGGGTGGTTTTGATGGCTATTAGGAGGAGGCGGGACCCATGTGACCCAGTAAGTATCTGCCTATCTGAACACACAAGCGTTTTTTGATGTGTTTTAGTTGTAAATGCACTTAAAAGAGAACTATAGCCCAACCCCCAAACTACCCTGTGAGCTGGAATCCTTGTGCATTTTTACCCTTCTCACTGCCCACAAAGATGCACAAACATACACAAGACCTACAGCTTAGGGTAGCTTGCCTCCACCTGCAGTTTGTCAGCTGACTAGTCTGCTAGGCATCCATACACACATAGAGATGCCTTTTGATGGCAATGAGATCTGCCCGTCTAAAGAAGATACAATAATTTCCACACTTTGACACTAATATACAATCAGATTGGCAATCTCATTCTCTTTTAGCCAACTGCTGCAATTACAGAGAACTTTAGGGCAGAGTCTCACAATGCAGTCTTGCACAGATTGAAAACACATTTAAGTCCGATGATTGCTGAGTGATTCCGAAAAGTGGTCCTGCTTACAATTTGTCTTGGTTGGGCAGGATAAATACAGTGAAAATGACTATTCTCCCAAGACTGCTCTATTTTTTTGTGCCCTGCCTATCATGGTTCAAAGGGTGGATCTAATGAGGTTTCAATCTGCATTGTCAGGTATATTTGGGGGAAGGAGGCCCCGGTTTGCCAAATCTGTGCTATTTCGCTCTAAACGGTCAGGTGGCCTGGGGGTTCCCAATTTCTGGCTATACTACCAGGCAGCACGACTTACTCAACTCTCCACTGTCTACTCCCGCCGGTAGGTTCCTGACAGGGTGGTGATGGAACCTCACTCGGCTTCTGGAGTGTCAGTGGATTAAACTTAGGCCACTAACAGTAGGCCTGTAGTGTTAGCCCCGAAGTTATCACACTCCTTGGCTTTGTGGGACAGGTTGCGCAGGAGTTACGCTTTAGCTTCCCCTGTTATGCCACTAGCTCCCCTTTTTGGTTATCCCCTTTTTCCTCTCGGATTGCATTTGCCGGGTTTCAAATGGTGTATTGGTAAAGGCTGTTACCGTATAGGACACTATTTTAAGGATGGTAAACCCCTGACGCTATTGTATTGTAAAGACAGGTTGCACTTGCCCTCGATGGAGCTGTTCGGCTTCGAACAAATTCGCCACTTTTTGTCCTCTTGGCCTGGAGCGGTATACCTCCTTGGCACTTATCCCTTACGAGAGATGGTGTTAGGATGTCACTGACCCACAGGGTGGAATTTCTCTAATTTACTCACTTCTTTTAGATCACCACACTAAATTGCACTACATGCTAGCTTGGGAACGAGATTTGTCACTAACTCTTCCCTTAGAATTATGGCATCGTTGCAGCTCAAGAATTTCCGGGGTCTACTTAATACTTTTTTGAGGCAGACCTTAAAGTTTTAATCATTGGTATCTTGTCCCTTCCAGGCTGGCAACCATTTTTCCGGATGCATTTTCGAGGCTTCTCAGAGTCGGGCACCATGCTTCATACTTGGTGGCTCTGTCCTAGCCTTCGCCCATTCTGGAACAGAATTTTTGCACTGCTTTATCGGGTTGTAGGGGTTCCCAAAGTTCCCAAAATGTCTTGAATAATGACTCATGAAAAGCCGACAAGTATATTACAGGACAGACACAAGCATTTTGGGGATGTGTGGGGCCCATGAATGACTTATATAGGAGTGTAAATTGTTTATTGGCATACTTATATCTGCTACTTGTTTTTTATCAAACATGACCATCCTCGGAGCCTTTTTTTTTTCTTTCCTTCTTTTCTTTTTCCCCTTTTTCCTTTTTTTTCTTCTTCTTTTGCATTATTTTATTGATCGGCCTTTTATGGACCTTTGACCTCACTACTCTTCCACTCCTGAGGGAGTGGGATAGAGTGCCAGGTTACCTTTATAATTACTGTATTATCTTGTTTAGATTTGACCTTGATTGGTCCCGCGCTTTAATGGTGCCTTGGTCACTATACTATACTGATACTATTATGGAAGGTGAAGGTAGTTTTACTGGCTTCATAATATCTATTGCTGGTCCAATGTTTTCCTCTGTTACCCTTCTGTTATGTATGTCCTTGTACACTAGTTATGTATACTCTGTATCTTTACAAAAAGAAAAAAAACTAAAAATACTTTGACACTAAAAACACAGGCCGAGCATACATGTACTAGTAATATAATGCAACAATCTCTAGGAGGTATGAATTCTTGGCAAACATTTAAATCTTCAAAAGCCTGGCCATGCCTCATAACAAATATCTTGGGTGTTCTCTGCTTTTCAAAAGGGGTAATTTTGTGAGTGTTTGTACTGTCCTTACAGTCCAGGCCATCTAAAAATGTAATTTGCAGTCAGTAGATCTGATTGGCAATTAATTTACGCCCCCTTAAAAGCCTTAATGTGTTCCTCAAAATCAAGGCATTCATTTTTTGCGGCTAGTCATGAAAAAGTCCCACACATGTGCTATTCCAATATGTAGGTAGAAATGGGACTCCAGATGCCAACTAAATGTGTCTCTTGATTAGCGTAAATGCAGCATATAACACTAGTGCAACGTTTCGGGGTCTCGCAGGATCCCCTTCCTCAGGCACCACATGCTGCATTTACGTCAATAAATATATGCATTTGGTTTGCATCTGGAGTGCCGGTGTCCCATTTCTACTTGTGTGTATATAATGGTTGCCATCCGTTGACTACCGCTGCACCAACCAACATTTGTTATGGATTAAACGATTAGGAGTGCGATGGGTTAATGGACTATTCGCATATTCAGGAGGCGTAGAAGAATGCGCCTTGTGGTGTAGTTCTAAAATTGCCCATACTGTGTTTGAGAAATAACTGGTCAAAATTACAAATCTGCGAAAAACAGTTTTTTCATTTACTTTTATAATTTTCTGAAAACCTATGGCAAAAGTTTGAACTCTTCAAAAAACTCACTATGCCTGTTAACAAATACCCTGGGTTGTCTATTTTCCAAAAGGGGTTAATTTTGGGGGTGTTAGTACTATCCTGGCTCTTTGTTGCCTCAGGAAATGGGGTATGTAGTCAGGACATCAGGGACCATACATTTCAAATGCCATTGTTTGTAAACACAGACTGAATAATATACATGTATTTCTTTAACTAAAGGAATGTAGCAGATTACATTTTTTTCTAAATTTATCATGAAAGACTATTTGATATGTAAAGGCAGTATTTCTCTAAAGTAGTATTTGGTTGATTTTTACAGCAATGTCAATGATTCAGAATTCAGTTGTGAACTACGGTAAACTGTAATTGAGCAAGAAGACAGAGTCTTGTTAAAATTGTTTTTCTAGGCTTATGGGACCAACCAAATTCCACACCCCTGGGGTGTGGTGTGCTTGAGTTTTTAGCCATAAAAGCTAGTATGCACTTATGGCAGACTTTTCTCCCAATCATGTCTCCTTCAGTGCCGCACTTCTCACTCGCTGGCACTGCCATCTTTGCCACAATCTTCCGATTTTTGAGTCTCATGCGCTCGGGAGTTTCTTCATCTCAGCATACTCATTGTTAGTTAGGCAACCACTGTGGAGTTAGTGTTTACCAAAATTAACCATGTTTTTACATGTCTTTTACATTGTATGTCAATGAGGGGAACAAGTCTGTACCTACTTTGTTCCTCTCCACTGTTGCTTTCAAATTGATTAGAGTAGTTTGCAGTCTGCAAGCCTGCACAAAATAACCTCTAGAAAAAGGTAAGAAATATATTTTTTAAATACATTTTTGTGAATGGGAACACATCAAATATACATAGTGGTGTTTTCGCAAATATGACTGCTAAAGTGGAAATACAATGAAAACATGGACAAAAATATGGTAAGTTTTGCTGCCCCAAGCCCCTTCTACCAGTTTTATATTGCTGTGCCCCATCTGGTGAGATATCCTTGAAAAGGCCACACAGCCAAGTCAAAATCTTCCGAGCAAGGCCTGTGTATGCGGGGGAGACACATGCAGACAATCCTAGCACCAGGTTTCCTATCCTGAGTAATCATTGGTTCCTGAGAATTTAGGGCTGCTGTGCACTGCTGCGTAGACATTGGATCATCACCCAATTAGGCCAATAAAGGCAGAATAAAGAGACTGTCATCTTAAGTATGTGGTCACCTTTAAAGAGAATGCAGCAGATATAAAATTCTATGAAGAAAAGGACAGAGTCAGGAACTGCAGTGGTGAGAAGTTGCTTTTTGCTCAAGTCCTTGGCGGATATTACAAATCAGCTTTTAGAATTTGAAAATGGGCGGTCATGATCATATTATTGCTTGCTCCTGGTAGGGAAGCAATATATAAACACACATGGTTATATTTCTTGCAGTCTAGTGACAGTTTATCCTCTTTTCTTCCCCAGCATGTTATGGCATTGTGCAGGTGCCCACAGGACCATGGTTCTGCCGAAAATGCGAATCACAAGAACGAGCTGCCAGGGTGGTGAGTTTGTGATACACATGACTACTTATAAATATAGTCAAGCATTTAGAATGTTCTGATTCTGTAAAAAAAATGTTTGCAGTTAACCATTGGTAATTGTTCTGCACTTTTATTGTATTTATATGCTGTTTGTTTTCAAATCATGGCGGGATTTGATGTCATTATGACATCATGGGGAGGTTCTGGGTGTATTTGGTGTGTTCTCACTATATAAAAGTTGAAACTGCATGTTTACTGTTGTCACTATGTTGCCCAGAAGAAGGGACCCTGCACGGCCCCGAAACGTCGGCTGTATGACGCATGTGACAAGTCAATAAACAAGTGCTTATACTTCTTGCACATATCCTCGAGTGCTGGTGACTTCTGTTATGATATGTTGTTATTTTAAAGCAGGGGTCTCAAAGTACCGGCCCATGGGCCAATTGCGGCCCACGAGCCGATACTATGTGGTCAGCTGACAAGTCAGACACGCGTTCACGGACCGCGTACCTGACTAGAGTGAGCAGTTACACGGTCTGCATCTCTGTCGGATGCAGATCGCATAATTGTGCTGGCGCTCAGTTCCTTATGGCTGAAAGGATGGATTAGTAAGGTCAACACCAGATCTTACTAATCAACCTCTGGATCCCCAGGGAATAATGTGCCTCCTCCCTGCAAAAACATAAGCAGGTGAAGAGGCTCTTTGCTCTATTTTAGTGTGTGTTGGGGAGTATATAGTTTTATGTGGGGGGAGGGAAGCATATTATTTTATGAGTGGGGGGGGGGAGAACAGGGGGGAGCATATTATTTTATGTATGTAAGCTCTAGTATATTCACACCTGGATGTTTAGGTGTGATTAAGGATTCCTGCGTCAGGAATCCCTAATATGGCAGTTAAATGCAGCTGTCACCCATTCAAGTTAATGATCAGGTGACAGCCGCTGCATGTAAACGCCTGCACACCACATTTAATGGTATGTGATATGATTACATGCAGTAAGGAATCATTCTCCCCAGAAGCCCAGGTGCATATACCATTAAATGCGGTGTGCAGGTATTTACATGCAGTGGCTGTCACCTGATTATTAACTTGAATAGGTGACAAATGTTGCATGTAAAAGCCGCATTAGAGATTCCGGCTGCAGGAAAACGCAAGTTCCTGATGCAGGAATCCCTAATCACACCTAAACTTACAGGTGTGAAAGAGGCCTTTTTGTGTGTAAATTAGTGTTTGTAATTCTGGTTGTAGGGGGTTGTGCGTGCGTGCGTGTGGTATGAAATTTGGCAAGCGGCCCCCATGGGAGAAAAAAGTTTGTCCAGTGGCCTCCTCGAGTGAATTGAGTTTGAAACCCCTGTTTTAAAGATATCGGAATGTGAAATTGTAATTCATCACGGGAGTGAGCTTGGAGCAGTGGCTACCTTACAACACACAAAGGGACCATGGGGAACAAAAGTAGCCCCCCTCCAGAAGGAAGGACAGTGTCAGCACCAATTCAGAGATGATTTGAGGATCTACAGCTGAGTAATACACAAATAAGTGACATTTTTGTTAATAGTTAAGGTACTTTAATGCATTTTTGATAGGGATGTCCCGATGCCACTTTTTCAGGCCCAAGTACAAGTACATCCCACCCAAATCTGCCCTCACTCACTATGTGACTGTGTCGGAGAGAGCAGGGACGAGTCAGCGGCAGCGCTGGTCCAGTGGGAGGAGCTCCAGGTGGGGTCCTAATTTAGCTGACTTGCCTGCCAGCTAAATTGAAACAAAAAACAAACGTGAGGGCGCAAGGCTAGAGGGACTATGAAGCTAATTAAAACAAAGTGAGGGAAGCAAGAGGAGATGGAAGCAAGAGGAGATGGAACACTTACTTTTAAGTGGGTCTCGGGAGCTGATGGATGTAGAACAGTGGAGGAGATCGTGGAGTCCAACGTGTGCAATCAGTGAAGGCTAGTGTGTTGCCTCGGGTGGCTCATCCCAGGGGTGGTGGGTGAATGCTCCCGAGCATCCCGAGCACCCGAGCATTCACCCACCACCTTACCAACCTGATCCGTCCTCACCTTACCACTATCCCGGCCGATTCACCATCCTATATCATCACCACGGCACGGGCACTGGCCCAGTCACGTCCATCTCACAGCTCGAGTTCCTCCACCCGCAGCTGCAGCCCAGCCTGACGTCAGTCCTCACATCACCGGCACTTTACATTGCTTCAGCAGGGACACGGACACATTGTGTGTGCCATCACCTGCACCCCTGTCCACCCCTCTCTTCTCATTTCCCTGGGATGAGCCACCCGAGGCAACACACTAGCCTTCACTGATTGCACACGTTGGACTCCACGATCTCCTCCACTGTTCTACATCCATCCCGTCCCGAGACCCACTTAAAAGTAAGTGTTCTATCTCCTCTTGCTTCCCTCACTTTGTTTTAATTAGCTTCATAGTCCCTCTAGCCTTGCGCCCTCACGTTTGTTTTTTGGTTCCACAAGTGCAGGCACTCCTCCTGTCTCCCAGGGCTGCAGGCGAGGTAGAGCTACAGTATCCCATTCCCCTGGCCCAATCCGAGAGCGCTTTCCGTACTATTCTTATGTGCTTTTTGCCAGCTAAATTGGAAACCCACCTGGAGCTCCTCTCGCCTGACCAGCGCGCCGCTGACTCATCCCTGCTCCCCTGCTCCTGACTGGCCGCTGCAGGGTTTTTTTTTCTTCTTACTTACCTCGCCGAGCGTCGCGTCACTGCTGCTCCGGTGGGCAGCGCTCCGAGCGGGGTCATCTGGCAGTCTCCGGCCACCTAAATTAGGACCCGGTGTAATAATCTATTTAAATGGAGGACGGAACTCAGCTGCGGAGTCACGTTCAATCTCACGTGCTCGGGCACAGGAGTAGGTGCTGGTAAGCAAAAACGAACCAAACAGTCTCAGAGCATCATAGTACCGCCTCTAGTACAATCTGACTACTCTGACTAACATAAGAGTGATGTGTGGTGGAGAACGGGAAAACGGGATTGCTCAAGGTGTATCAGTGTTTGTATGTTATGTCACATATATCACTTAAATGGTTATCCTTGGTTTAACACAGTCCTATAGTATCAACAGGTAGTTCAAGATAGATTCAGCAGGTGGCAGTAGAGTTCACTTAGAGAAACACAGTCTTATCATATTCAACGGATAATTTCAGATAGATCCAGCAGGTGGCGGTAGAGGCCGCCATGCCAAATGTCAAAATGCCCTGTATCGGGCCCTATTCCGATGCTAGCATCGGTATCGGGACATCCCTAATTTTTGAGATTTAACTCTTGAGTTTACTATCACTAAACAGGACAGGACAGGAAGAGGAAATTAATTTATAAAAAAAAACCCCCCAAAAAACTAATGGAAATCAAAACTAACATTTGTTGGGGTGGTGGATTGCTCAGCAGTGTAAAGAATTGTAACTTGTATTCTCATGTAAATTATTTCTCAGCCTCCGTGCCATATACAAACAATCAGCAGCATGCAGGGTCACTCACTTAAGGGCCACACACAGTAAGGCAGAAGCTCCTCTGCTTAGGTTAGGAGCGTCTTTCACAGAACTCTGGCAGGCTTCCAGCTGTCTCCCTGTCTCCTTCTCAGCTCGGCTCCTGCTCTGTCTCCAGAACCAAAGAGATCACTCTTTGGATGATCCCGCGATCCATACGATAATCGTAAGGTTTATGGGCAGCGTGCGACCGCGTTTACTGTACGGTCGGACGACTTTCGTTTTACGAGCACGCTTGAAAACCTGCCGCAAATCGTACGATTTTCGGCGGATTCGTTAGGGTTGCCACCTTTTCTGTAGTAGTAGCCCTTATCTTAATTTTGGTTTCCCCTGTCTGCCTGACATCTTGTGTCTGGGTTTCTGCTGCCATGAAACCCAAACACAGCATTTAAAACCCGAACTGTCCAGGTGAATCCTGGACAGGTGGCAACCCTAGGGTTCGTAGCGCGATCGCAAGACAAAAGCCGCACGGCCCGAGGTGCGCAAGCGCACACTGCCCGCTCACCATTGCAATCCTCTGTAAGCCCTCCCCTCAGCAGGGAGGATTTGCGATGATCGCAAGTACGATCTGCCTTACGAACTTTTAATCACCTTACAACTATCGACAACGAAAGTCGTGTGATGGTTGTAACGTGTATGGCCACCTTAAGATATCCAGATCCCAGCTATAATTAGGAACACCCAGAAGAATGAAAAGCCAGGTTCTTCCTTATCAAATGGTCCACATTCTGGACCCTCTCAGCCCCTCTGGCTGAGAGTCCCGAGTGCCAAAGCTGCCCTACTAGACAGTGGCATTGCCATGCACTGCCACACTATATACAAGTCTGTGATCTAAAAGGACCCCCAAATATTTTTTTGATCACAGATTCATCCCGAGAAGCCCCTCCTCTGAGTATGTTGCTTGCATATTTTTGGTGCTCAAGTGCATAACTTAATCTCTCTTTATTTTCTGTATTGAACCTCATCTGCCATGTAAATGTGTCGGCAAACATTGAAATTGTATCGCAGCGTGCGCCAATTAAATGAAAATTACAACTATCGGTGAAAATAAAGCTTTGTTAGTAAAAAAAAAAAAAACCTGGCTCCTAACTTTTTTAGCTGGCTCCTAGATCCAAAGCAAGTTTGTCAAGCCCTGGTGTATGCAAAAAAAATCTAAAAGAATACAAGCACACTAGACACGATATATGCGTGTATGTGTGTTTGTGTATGCAGTGAAGCCATCAGAAATTTTGGGGCCCCTTACACAGCTTTAGGCCTGGACCCCAGGGCCAGATTAAGAGCATCACGTGCCTTTTTATGGAAATGTCGACAGTCACCGGGACCCTCTTCCTCCTATCTGGGCTGTGATTTGTAGTCTCTCTACAGCTTGGAGTCAGTGGTGGAGCGCCAGGGTCTAGCTGCAGCTGTGAGCCTGATAGATCTGCCACTGGCTCCAAATTGTAGAGAGACTACAAATCTCAGCAATACACTATACAGCAATGCAGAATACCACCAGCTATAGAGGAC